GATAATATTATACGTGACCACACAACATATGATACCACACATAAAGATACAACACCTACATACAACACACGTTCCCATACCACATGTGAAAATAGCATCGCGATACTATACGTAAATTAACGCAAGGTCATATAACACATGGTACTATTATACGGGTAGTGATACTACACGTAGAAATTGAACCCATAGTAATACGATACGTGGTGATACAATGGGTAATTCTACACGTGATACTACGCATGACCATACAATGCATACTACATATGGCTGCACGTAGTAAAATACCATGAGTGGTGATACAACCAGTAATACTTCGTGTGATAGAGATGATAGGTGCTATAAACGTTGCTACACATGTTAGACCTCATAAATTCCCGTACTCTACAATTATGGAGCAGCAAGTTCATAATAGTGGTGATATAACGAGAATCTCCTGTGTATACTACACACATGAGGGGGCTAAAATTATCTTTAAACCTTGCAACCTTTACAAAATCGTCTTTCATAATTTTTATTGTTATTTTCACATGGTGAAAATGCTGTTGAAAATTCATATTGGTTAGGTTCACATATTGGTATGAAAGATTATATAGATTTTACAAAATTATTCTTTAAATTTTTCTAGATTTACTATTTATTTTACTGTACTTTACTACTCATTTTTATTTACTGTACTTTACTATCTCACTACCAAAAGTTTCCCATTTTCTGTTTTGGTAATCAATTCCGTAGTACACTTGCTAAAACTTCAAAGTCCCACCGCGTATAATTCGTTCCTGCCCGCAACCCCGTTTTTGTGGTTTTAGGTAATTCAGGAAATTGGTACACACGTGCACTCGGAATGAAAGGATTAAGGGTTAATGATCGTCGCGTTAGCATCACCTCGAAACAGTTTTAACGACGTTTATCTCGACATTGGGAATCACGGGTACGGTAGAACGGCTTTATATGGCACGCAAGCACGCGTGCTTTTCATCGAAACGAAAGAGCATTTGTTACGCTTCGTACACATGGAGAGCGTCGCGAAGCTGGTGGTAATTGAGAATAAAATTATTTAATGACATTTTCTCTGCGTAGGCAGTCGAGGATTTTATACGACACTTTCGCATGCAATTTTTATTTCGAGACAATTTTTAGAGCACTCATTGTTTTTTTTTTGGTAGTTGAAAGTTAAAATGGTGTAAAATTACAAAATTGTCACTTTTTGCATTTATTTTGTCGAGGAATTTTACTTCAAAATATTAGTATTTATTGTACAAAATTGTGTGATAGAATTTGTGACAATATGTAAATGTCATGTATTATACAGTAATTCATTTATGATTATATATTATTTATAATAATAATGTGATGACACAATTCTTGTTAAATTATTAAGGAGTCCGTCAGTATTCATATTTGATATAATTTATACATTACATAATTGCATGTATGAATTATGAATTGTGAGTTATAATTTATTTATGCAAATACAAATTTAAATTGATTGACGTTTGTATGTTTTCCCCAATAAACTGCAAGAACGTTTATGCCACTCCTAAAATTCTTTCAAAGGGTAGGTTGAATAAAATCTTCAAAAACTATTTACACCCTTACTGTTATTATAACAAATTTTGTCTGTTTAGAAATGTTGTCTAAATATGAAAAAAATGATAGTTTATCCAGGAGAAATCAGGAGAAAATTTCATATGAGTTTGCAGTAGAATGAGTCTCACGTTAACAGCCACAGTGGAAACAGACGTATGTGGTCAGACACGCTATAACACACCTCATTAACAAGTAGCTCATTTTTCACTTTTATCCTGTATTTTGTTAATGTACTTCAGTGAGATATAACAGTACAAAGTTTTGTAAATCTGCAACATATTGATTTGTCCAAAAATACCTCTCCTAATATTGCATCTCTCTTTAAATCTCCACACGTATTTCCACATATGTATAATAATAGTTAGGTTTTACAATGTAAATTTGATTTAGGTTTTACTACCTTTTACATTATAAAATTGATATACAATCAACGTGTATAACGAGACTAAAAAAAGTTTCCAAAGTTGAATATCCAAAATCGAATAAAATGAAAAGCTGCAAAAGCGCAATTCTCATAAATGCCAATTATTTCCACTTGAACATTTACGATGACACATGGAGTATAAAGCGCACGATCCAAAAACCTTTCGCATTCGTAAAATTGAAGAGCGAAAATCGTGCAACGTTGAAACGAACAACAACAACAACAACAACAGGTTGACACGTTTCTCTGTCGTCGATCAACAATGCATCCGCCCACTCCGTTCCGTCCGTTTGTTTTGCGGTCGACGTTTTTTCCGGTGAAAAATCCAGCCACCAAACACCAGTCTCGTCCCGAATAAAATACGGGAGTTCCACTTTAATTCGGCGATGGTGGACGGCCTACGCGATGCTACTTACATAATGTAGCCCTCCATTCAGGATCGACTCGGCTGAATTATGAATGGCGGTCGATAGCTAGAGGGAGGACGCGTGTGCTGGCCATGCGAGTTGGCCTAGGGTAAGGCCTACATGCCGAGAATCTACATGAAAAAGGAAACAGTATCGACGCCGCAGAAAATAAAGTCCGTCTTTTGGCTTTAACCTCAAATTTATTCCAAGGTATACGCGTATAAAACATGTACGGAGGTTAAGCCGCGACCAAAGAAGGAAACAAATAATCAAACGCGACATTAATCTTTTAAGTGGATAATGACAACCTTGTCGTTTACCAACTGTTTTCACTGTCTCGCAATTGTTTTTATCCTTGGAATAAGTGTTTTCTGGGACAAATATGAAGTGGAAAGATACGTCGATGCTAATATAACATTTATAGGTGCTCGACTTGATAGCTCTGAAATTTTTTAGATCAAATTCAAGCGCTTCAAGATTTCAAATTTTTAGTTTCAGATCTTAGAAATTTAGGGTTTCGAAATTTCATACTGCCACTGTGGAAACTGTAAATTTACAAATTTCAGATGTTCTTATTTGAGATTACAAAATTTTTATAATTGAGAGATTTGCAATTTTTAAATTTAGAAATTTTAAATCAAGAAATTTTTAATTATTGAAATTTCAAACTTGTAAGTGTATGATGTAAAATATATATAACATTAATTTTTATTTTTTGCTAACTCTATTATACCTAAATATTGTATTTTAACCTTCTTTGTCAAATAAGCCTTATTATAAACAATAAAATTGTTTATTGGAAATATTTGAAGAAGTATGGTACATCACCCATCAATATTTAAATATGATACATAATTGATATGATCCATTAATATGCTCCATTAGAATATATAATTAATGTGCATATAATTATAACTAATATGTATACAATTAATTTATATATAATTATAATTAATATGTACATAATGTCATAATATACATCATTATTACATACCATTTCTACCAGAGTTAAAAAATGACTTCGCCAGTCGAGAAATTATTGGATGAATCGTTAAAATATGGATGAAGCGTTATCGGACGTTGAAAAAAGTTTTTTCTGGTCGTTGATTAAACTCATCGGTATTTCTTCCTTTTCTTTATTGAGTGTTCCACTCTCGAGATTCTCGATGGAATCGCGCTTCAAACGAGCTGAATATTTATAATCGCTTTCAATCAACGTTACACTTTTTACGGAATATATGTAGCTGGAAATATTTGATATCAAATATTGTCTCTTCTCAGATCAGTGATTCTGCTTTTTTAAAATATAAAAGTGATTTAATTATTATATCTCGATAACCAGTACGATGATATTTTAGGAGGGGCAGATTTTATGGAAGCGTTACTAATTTAATTTTCATTGCAGTTAGATTGAAAAATTACTGGAAATATAGGAAAAATTTGTTGACTTATGATTATTTTTTTAATATAAACTTGTTGAATTTTAGTTGATAATTTAGTAGGAAATATTAGTTCATAAATGTAATGTAGTATAATTAATATTTTGTGTACATGTTCTGGTCCTAAATTTTTTAATTCTCAAATTTACTAAATCTACAAATTCAAAAATTCCTAAATACCAATATTACAAAATTTCCAAATCATAGAATCCCTAATTTCCAAATTGTCAAATACCCAACTTCTCCAAATTCCAAATTCTCAAATTTTCAAATTCCCAAATCCCTAATTTCCCATGTCCACAACCCCCAAATCCCTAATTCCCAAATTTCCAAATACCCAACTTCTCAAAGTCCCAAATTCCCAAATTCCCAAATCTCCAAATACCCAACTTCTCAAAGTCTCAAATTTTCAAATTCCCAACTTCTCAAAGTCTCAAATTCGCAAATTCCCAAATCTCCAAATACCTAACTTCTCCAAGTCTCAAATTGTCGAATTCCCAAACTCCCAAATACCCAACTTCTCCAAGTCCCAAATTCTCAAATTCCCAAACTCCCAAATACCCAACTTCTCCAAATCCCAAATCCCTAATTCCCAAATTTCCAAATACCCAACTTCTCAAAGTCTCAAATTCTCAAATTCCCAAAACTCCAAATACCCAACTTCTCCAAGTTCCAAATTCTCAACTTCCCAAATTCCCAAATCCCCAAATCCCTAATTTCCCAAGTCCACAACCCCCAAATCCCTAATTCCCAAATTTCCAAGCACCCAACTTCTCCAATCCCTAAACTTCCGCATTCCAAATTCTGAGTGATCCCCGCCATAAACAGCAATCGCCATAATTCGATCATCTCCGTGCATACAACCCCGTGACAGTGAAACGTACTACGATACTTAGCGTAGCTACTCCGCACAAAGCCATGGCTTTGTGTTCCTTTTGTTCTCGTCACGAATCAAATAGTCACCTCTTCGACTCGCTTCTTCAGCTCTCCATTCATCCGTTCCACTCTCATTCTCTCCGCATCGGTCATTTCACCATTTCGCATCGCCATTCTCTCCGGCACTTGAACGCCTCGCGATGCACCCTTGTTCCACCACCTATAAATTAAACGAGACGTCAGCGGCTCTTGCTTGTCTGCTTGCAGTAACATAGCTGTATTGATCCTGCATCGAGATCCTCGAGGTTACGATCTCGTTATCGAGGCTACGTTCGCGTAAAGATCCCGGGGAGGAAGTTTGTCGTTGCTGGTGGAGGACAGCCTCCGGCAAGGCAGGTAACCGCGGAAGGGAAAACGAGGAGAGGCAAAAGGTGGAGCTAGAGCGAACTGTGCTACCAGGGGAGGGCCTACCACCTGGCTGTCAGAGGGTGTTTGACGGGGGGTGACGGGTAACAGCACCTAAGGGCGGGTGGGGGGATGCAGCTCGAAAGGGTGGCGGCATGGAGGAGCCCTCGCTGGAGGCTCTCATGCAGGCGGGCCTCATCTTCGTGGTCGGTGTCGCCATCATCCTCTCGAATCTCCTCATCATCGCCACCTATCTTAATTTCCGTGGTGAGTACTTTAACCGATACCAACCCTACTTTCAATATTCTTACCCTATTATACTTTTCTTGCAAATATTCATTCTTAACATTAAAATCAGAAAGGTCAAATTCCTCACAAGTTTATTACTTTGAATTACAACATTTTTTAAGGTTTTCTTCAAATCTGCAACGATTTTATTCGAGACAGTTAATGTTTGTTTTATCGCCTGTTTATTCATTCATAAACTACATTTTTAGTTTCACAGTAAGTGATAGGTCTGTTTAGTTAAAAGCGCTTATTACGTTTTATGGAGAGACCGTCTTCATGGTCAGACTGTGGGTGTTTATACATTCATAACAATTATTTTATGCTTTATAGAGGTAGTTTTAAGATTAATTTAATATATTACTTGGTTACAAAAGATTTACCGTGTAACTCTTAACTGAACTATAATAGTATACATGTAATGTATAAACATCTCCAAGTAAAATTTCTATATACCAAATATCTTTCAACAAATAATGTTATATCTAAAGTACCTTCGAGTGCAAAGGATAATTTCCTGTCCCAGTAACCTTGCGAAAGAACTAGACCAGAAGTAACACTCAGAGAAATGCAAGCGTTGAATGGTTGGCTGGTGGTAAATACAAATTACTGTCTGCGCCGCATAGGTCCCTCCGAGGTGATAAACTACTATTTGCTGTCTCTCGCGTCGGCGGACCTTCTTTGTGGTCTGCTGGTGGTTCCACTGTCGGTGTATCCGGCTCTGGTACGAAGATGGGTCTATGGGGACATCGTGTGTCGTCTCGTCGGCTACTTGGAGGTTACACTCTGGGCGGTATCTGTTTACACCTTCATGTGGATCTCCGTGGACCGGTATTTGGCCATCAGGTACAGTTGTCATTGCATTTGCTTTTTCAATTACCTTCTTTACATCTTTTACTTATGTTTATACAATCTTTGGGCTATAAATTTAACGATGAGTTGATGGAAGATTGGAAATTCATCAAAATCAATAAACCTTAACATTGACAAATTCTTATGTCATGAATTTATGTTATGTTACTGAAATGTTGAGCTGCAAAAATTTTTAATAACTTGTCACTTTAAAAATACAGAAGCTTGTGAATTTCATATTTGAACATCCATCAGTGCCAGATAGTGTCATTTTTGATCATCACTTTTTGACCACTTGAAATACAAATTTAAATTCCTTATTCTTACAATTTTGACTCCGATATCAATGAAGATTATTTTGCAATGAAGACTTGCAATGAAGATTTGCAATGAATTTTGATTTCCCAGAAAACCACTGCGATACGAGACCGTGCAAACGAAAACGCGATGCCAGTGTTGGATGGTGTTTACGTGGATCAGCGTGGCGATGATGTGCTGTCCGCCCTTGCTAGGTTTCCAAAAGCCAATCTTTGATCGCGAGGCGTTCATCTGCATGCTCGATTGGGGCAACATGGCCGCCTACACCATCACACTGTCTATCCTCGTGTTAGGCCCGTCGGTCATCACAATCGTCTACACTTATTGCTACATCTTCACGATGATGAGACGGCTGCGATCTGGTGTACTGATCCACGACAAGGAGTACGCGACTGCGTTATCGGAAAACTTGAGCAATCCGAGTCACATCATGTCCTTTGTACTAGTGATGGCTTTCTGGGTTTCCTGGGCACCCTATGCCGGTCTACGGATATACGCCCTTGTTAATGGACCGCCTCAGGTAATTACAACTCATTAAAATCACAATAATTTTCATTTTTTAATACATTAAAAATTTTGCTAATTTGTTGACATTTGAAAAGTTACGATTATTTTACAAATTATTCTGTAAGATCATTCAAGACATTAATGGTTAAAAGTCTCTTTTGAACAAGGGTTACATTAGTCAAGTTTCGATTAGAACCTCTAGTGTGATCTTTGTTCTCGTACACGTTACATCTACTGCTTTTTATTGTTCATATCGAAATGAAACAATAAATGATAAACCACACTTGGTTTTCTGTTTTCAATGATAAAATAGAACTATTAAAATGAACTAGAGAAATGGTTAAACTGAGAAGAGTTGGTAAACTGCACAATTATCCAAATATAATAAAGAGACGCGGTAACTAATCGCTCGGGTTTGAGCGCGATCAGTTACTGCGAGAGGTAGTTGATTTCAAGGAGCGAAGCATTGGCTGTTCAGCGATTATGATCGACGTAACTGCAGTTTAGAACTCAGTATCTGTATTCTGTTATACTATAAATATACACAATTTTGAATTGCGACTACATTAATGAAAGTCGAAGAATTAATTCGTGTCAATGTCTTGCTTGTCGAACGAAGGATAATGTGCGTGTATTTAAGAAGGGATTTTAGCAATCAGTTAACGAAAAGTTTAAGTAACTAAATAATTATTTTACAAATTTCAGGTACCATTTCTTCACTTCGCGGTAGTATGGCTGGGTGTGACGAACAGTTTTTGGAAAGCGGTGGTCCTGGGAACCCTGAGCCCCCAATTTCGTTTGGCAGCCCGCGTCCTATGTCTGACGTTGTGCTGCCGGCACAGACGACTTCCGCCGGAGCTTCTTGGCCTCGATGACGACGATTAAAAGCCAAAACGCCTACGAGAAGATGATGGAGCTTTTCTTTGCGCGCAACCGTTCTATACGCGCCCCATTCCTAGAGCATCGCTTTTCATATCCTCGGTTCGAGGTCGTTCTCGCATCCACCGCCGCCGACGTTCTCTCGGAGTCTTCTTCGAGGGCTGAGACTGAGATTCTTTGTTCCGAAAGGCGCTACGATGTCCGTCGAACCGGCGGTCCACGAATCGAACGATTTGAATAAGGAGGATGCCCGTAGCGCCGAACGACCTGGCTCAGATTATTCTTTTTCGAGCGGCTTTCTTTGACCGCTTTCGATCCTCTCGGTCGCCGTTTTACGCGATAACATTTGGATAAGGGTGTTGTTTTTTTTTTTTAAAGAGCGACGGGAGACGAATTCCTAGCCGAGCGAGACCGATCGGCCGAGTACAATAAAATCTCCTAATCAACGAGCAATCGAACGCCACGATAATAAACCGAAACTTCGAAGACTAAGATTTTTGCGAAGATCATCCTCGATTCTAATTCTAGATGAGTTCGAGCGTGTCACGCGTATGTATCGAAGCTTGTCGCGCGTAATCGACAGTCTAACCTGGACGCTGAGAGAACAAAACGCAAAAAAGAGACATAGATAATGACGTACCTGATCGAGGGCACGTCGTCGCTTCTTTCACCTAAACGCGTAATAAGTGTAAGAGCATTCCTTTTTCTATACGATTTCAATTTAACTATAGTCGATTGTAATCTTACACGTGTCTACCGCAGTCTATTATTATCGAACACGTATCGATGAAAGGACAGAAAGAATTAAAGCTCAGCCCGAAGGCGATGATTCAAGGATAGTAGATCCTCGCGACGAAAATAAAGTGGAATCGGAATCATGACGCTCTGTAATTTTCTTTTCTTTTTCTGTTCTTTTTCTGCTTTTGCTTTCTCCTATACGTCAAATGATACCGGAACTCGAGGATCGCGCTGGAACCAGAGGGGTGGTCTCCATTTTAGAGCGAAACTCGTTGCCTATATCTACGTGGTAAGATTACGCTCAAATAAGTAGTCGCGTACGGAAACGAGCGGTTCATTGTTAATACGAATTATAGAGGGTTTCTGCGCACAGTGTGGTTTGAGGGTGAAAATCGAAAATCAACTTGTATGATTAAATCATTGTTATATGATCTTTTTCAATAAAATTAGACTTAAAGTTACAACATGATTTAATATATTGTAACATAATAATATAATTTCATACAACCTGCGTTACAAAGTATGACATAAATGAAAGACACAAGTGGGTAGACATATTTAATATCCAATGATAAATAAAAAAAATGAAATAAGTTATTTATTACTGATGAAACAAGTCAACTTAAACAAATGAAAAGATACCAAATTTATAAAAAAACTTTGAAAAATTTGACTGCTAATTAATTGTAAATTTTATAGCTATTTGAGAATGCACATAATGTTTGATTGTGTATGATTGAATTTCGATTTTTGTCCTCGTGTTATTCAACCGTACTGTGCAGCAAATCGAACGAGAAGGAAAGATGACACCTGAGCTTGAAACACAAAAAAATACAAGAGAACACTAGGTCAATTAACGGAGATGCCTCTACGAATGCGACGCCGCGTCAATCTGTGCGCCCGTAGATCGCCCATGCAAATAATCGCGTACATGGGGATTCGATCGCGATGATTTTACGCTTTTTTTAATGCGCTTCCTTATCTTATGCCAACGCGATCGATCCCTTCTCCTCTCTCTTTCTCTTTCTCTTCTTGTTAAACAAATATTTCTATCAAGTTTTAAGTAAACTCTCTTGAGTTCTGAAATAAATTTCATGATATAAAACCAGTAGTTGAGGAATTTCACCATATTTAAAATTAAAATGAGGATGTCTAGAATTTGATTAAGTTTGAAATTCACTTTTGTTAATTTGATTTTGATTTTACTAAGAAAAAGATTCAAAACTTATTTTGAATTGAATTTTTATGGAATTATAATTGAGGTGTGAATTAACCTCAAAATTTAAGTTAAAGACTGTGAAGTGCAGAATTAAACATATTTGAGCGTGAAAGAAAAATAAAGCAATTTGCAAAATGAAAAAGAAACAATATTGCAAAGTAGGGGAAAATAGAACAAAATGGAATCCCCAATATAGGTTTCTTCTTCGTAAGAAAATTAGAACGTACAAAATACTTGAAACGTCAATATTAATAATCTTGAGCTAATTTTACAGTGTTATACAACTTTGAAATTTCTAAACTTCTAGATTCATCAATTTCAAATATAAAATCTAAAAACTTGTAAATTTGTAAAATTTTAATTGTTAACTTCATAAACTCGAAGTTTCGAAATTTCTCCATTCCTAAATTTGAAAATTCCATACTTGAAATTTATGAATCAGAAATTTCTAAATTCTTGTATAAGAAAATTTGAAAGCCCTACACTCTCAAACGTGTTGCTTCAAAACTTCGAAATTTCAACACTTTTTAACTAAAAAATTTGAAAGTCAAATTAAAAGATTTTAAACTAAACCCTCTACAACTTAATAAATTAAAAGATTTATAAATCTAGAAATTAAATAAAAATAATAGAATTGAAAAATTTCATTCCTAAAGTAACCTAGAAAGTTAGAAACGCTTAAATTTCCAATCTCATAAATTTAAGAATAATTCCGGAGGGCAACAATGCTCCGTACAATAATTCTCGAGGAACGAACGCAACAAAAGAACCGACTCGATCAAGCAGAAACCCCGCAAAGAAGTTCTAAAGAAACGAAATCATAATAGAAGCAACTTGGTCGAATGAACGGCGTTCAATCGGTTTCGCTGTTGTTCCATAAATTTCGTTGAAAACGTGCGGCGCTGAGAATCTAATTTAAAACTCACCCCGGCTTCTTGGTCGAACAAAACTCGGTGGACAAGAAACACAGCCTCTCAGCGAAGGCGAAAAAACTTGGCGAAAACCGTTTTCCGTGGGTGGAGAGAAAGCAGGGCTATAAATAAAACAGCTCGGTTCGTTTATAACCGGCCATTCTATAGTTCCATAGAGAACGAACTGTACGCGTAGCTCAGTTACGAGTACTGCTTTTATGTAACTCGCGTCGAGTCGCCTTATTTTAACGGTGACGCTTAATAGAACTTGCACGACGTTTCTATGGCGTGAATATTTGTACAGTTACTCTGCGTGGCGTCCTGTAATCGCTGTACTGAAAGCGGATATGCACGATCACTGTCGGCTTGCATAATGCTCTTAGCCTTATAGCGACACCTTGATCAAGATTCGAATCAACGGTGTTTATTGTTTACATTTCATCCTGATGGATATCTGGATATAACAAGAATTTGTTACATTATTCGAGGATCATTATTCAAGGAAAGTCAATTTTTTGGGGTGGTGGATTTTAGGAATCACACTGGAAAATTGGGCAAATATTTTTTTATGGTTATATACTGTGCTTGTATGAGAAGATTTTTACGTCAAAATGGAAATGTTATATCGGTGGTAAATATGTGGTGGATACAAGATTTGCCTGGAAAAAATTTGATGGGTAGATTTGAAAATTTAGAAAGGGCACTTGCATAGTGGGAGGTGGGGTGATTTGAGAATTTAAATATTTGAATATTGGACAATTTGAAAATTTCCTAATTTGAATATTTCAATATTTGACAATTTGAAAATTTCTTAATTTGAATATTTCAATATTTGACAATTTGAAAATTTCTTAATTTGAATATTTCGATATTTGACAATTTGAAAATTTTCTAATTTGAATATTTTAAGATTTGACAATTTGAAAATTTCAGTTTGAATATTTCAGTATTTGACAATTTGAAAATTTTCTAATTTGAATATTTCGATATTTGACAATCTGAAAATTTCTTAATTTGAATATTTCAGTATTTGACAATTTGAAAATTTTCTGATTTGAATATTTCAATATTTGACAATTTGAAAATTTCTTAATTTGAATATTTCGATATTTGACAATTTGAAAATTTCCTAATTTGAATATTTCAGTATTTGACAATTTGAAACTTTTCCTAATTTGAATATTTTAAGCTTGGAAACTTGAGGACATGCAAATTTTTAAATTTGAAAACATTAGTTTTTGAATATTTTAAGATTTGAAAATTCTCAAACTTACATATTTTAATCTTCCAAAATCGAAAATGGCAAAAATTCTGTATAGTGGAAAACACTATATGATCCTTCCTCTAATATTAGACACAATAAATTACACAACAAAATGGAGGTATCCCCAATTTTCACGTCGAAGATATACTCCATCAATTTTTAAAATAAATAATTGCTGTAACTTGAATATTTATCAAATTACCAAAAATATCTAAAACGAATGACAATTTTGATAAACACCCCACATAAAATTGATAATCAAGTATACAAGCAAAGCTACATTTTCCCCATTTTGTGTTCAAATGTCTACACCCACCATTTTCTAAAATAATTCTTTTGCTTCCAAATTTACAAGTACCTTCTATCTTCAGAGATAACTCCATAACCAGAGATAATGTAATAAATGAGGAAATTAGTAATGTTTCGTTTAAAATGCTTTGAAAAGAGAAAGAAAGAGAAAGAGAGAGGGGAAAAAGTATGACATGGTTCCCGCAACGCTGGAAAGCGACGCTCACGCGAGCACGTGGGCAGATCCTGAGATTTCTTTCTTGGATGGTGAACGTTAAACCCTTTAAAGAGAAATCCATACGCAAATCGGTGTCTAGAAAACTCTCAGCTTCTACTCTATTTTTTACTCTAGACTTCGTGTTTTACTAAACTTGTAAGGCTCTTCTGATAAAAATAAATGGTCGGCCCCGTGTTCGGGGCCTACGAGTACCATTAGATGCGCGACGGTAAATTTAATCGTGCCATTTTGATATACCATGGTGTATAAGGTGTCAAGGTACCCGGAGGTGCGAGAAAAGCATTAAGACGCGACACGTCGAAGCGTTCCTTCGTTTTTTTCTTGTGGGAGAATCAAACAATCAATGAGAAATTAATCAAACACGGTTATCTTTTGAACATGAACGACGGAACGATTCGACGATCACCGATGTTACGATGTCTTAATTATAGAACTGAATCAAAGAGAACTTTTGACTATGTTATAGTTTAAAACCGTTAGCTATGTAAAAAAGAGAAAAAGCACCCCGGCTAAAAAAAAAAACGCAAAGAAGCTATACGGATTTCTACGTTGAACCGACCGCTTCGTGTTCGACGATTGTTCGACAAAGTTTAATGATTGTTGCCACGTGTACCGCGTTAATTGTTTACCACGGTGGAGCAGCATGTCACGCGAGTTATTTACCAGTTCGACGAGTCACGGTATCGATATTTTACTGTTCGTCGACGTACGACTGTTCTGAGAAACGTCGATGAATCGTTTATAACATCGGGAAATCAATGTACGAATCGTCAACAGCGACAACGAAAATTTTCTTATCGAACGTATGATTCGATGTCTCGACGATTTTTTATCGAACTGTTGACTCACATACTCGATCTAAGCAATAATGTATCATCGTGTGAATGTAATTGAGGGAAGATCTCGAATTCTGAAATTTGGAAAATTGAAATTTTGTGAATGTTATAAATTTTGTAAGAAACACTTTGGATATTCGTTTCGAAGGGGTGAAAAATATCTTTATATCCAAGAGACATTTCTATAAAAATATCACTTCTATAAGCATCTCTATAAGTTTCTATAAATATTATATTATCTCAAATTTTTTAAATTGAATAAATTAAAATTCACCCCTTAATATTGTGAAGTCTTTGAAGATCTCTAATTTTTTAGAATAAGACAGTTGAAATTTTAAAGGTGTTTTCTTCCACTTTAAATTGAAAACAAATAGATGAAAATATGAAGGTAAATAAATTAAATTTTTACAAAGTTTCCTAACTTTTTGAACTTCAAAATTTGTGGTCTTCCCTTGTGAATTCGGAGAAAGAATGGATGTGTGATAATTTATGAACTGCTTAATTTAACTTGTTTTGAAGATGTTATACGAATGTATAACTATTAATCGTTAACACTGTTAACGCAAACAGGGTGTCTGACAGTTTAGTTATTTAATTAATGAAGCAAAAGGGTTAGTATAAAACATGTGTACAAAGAGGCAAATTGAGGAAAAAATATTTTTGAGGTTATGAAGTTAAATGAAGGTTAAGTTACTTTTTCTTTTAAACAAAATTACATATGAATTTTTTAATGACTTTCAAAGATAAATTTAATACTTTATAACTAATAATAATTCAAGTACAAAAATAACACTTATTTTTTATTTTTTGTTTAACTATTTAAATCAATTCATTGGCAAATCGATGATAATCAAAGATGAATCAATTGGTCTTCGACAATCATTGCTACCAAAAATTAACCAACGAGTATATAAAATATTAAATAACAAAACTGTCTAAAAGTGAATATAGATTAATACATAAAATAGCACAATAGTTATAAAAGTAAGATACGATCCTTGTTAAATCGTGCAAATCCATTTTTTCTCCGACTTAATTGTAACCACATTTCTGTCTGTGCTATACAACCGAAAACGAAGAGAAAACCCTTTAAAAAGTGAACGATTCAAGAATTTCATTCGTGAAAGACAAAGACAGGGTACCGTCACCCGTCGCATTGTTAATAATTCCAATAAAATTGATTAAAAAAAAACCAAAGAAACAACAGAGCTCTGGCATCTTCTTCTTTCCCGGAATCATTTGTTTTTCAATATTTTTTTTTTTATTTTTATTTTGCGAGAATATATCCGTTCGTCTTTCTCGTAAACGACGGGCAAATATTTTTAGCCGGGATCGATCGCGAAGAAAAAAGAACGCTATGATTTTATCCTGAACGTCTTTTTATGTGTGTGTATATGTATTAGATCGCGTGTGATGTGGTTCTTTCGTCCAGATCCGTCGTTGCAAGCTTTAATCCGATATTATACGTTTCGGGTGCACGCTGACCCCAATCATCTCTAACTTGAAATTAAAGGTTGGTTCATATCTTGTTATAATATTGTTATGGAAGTTTGTGCAAAGACTTAAGGTGT